CTAGGAGCTGAAAAAGGTCCCGAGCCAATAGCCAGCAAAAAAACCAGGGACCGTAGTTCCATGGTCACAAGGAAATAAATTCAACCAACAACCTGAATAAGCTGAGAAGCAGATCTTCCTCCTGTGGTTCCACACGTGTCTGCTGCCTTGATGGCAGCCTGGTGAGCCCTGGAGCAGGAGAGCCAGCAAAGTTGGGAACCGGGGCCCTGGTGAACAGGCACTGTTTGAAGTCACTGCATTTGTGACACTTTATTACATGGCAATAGCAAACTAGTACTGCGTCGTGCCATATGGCAGCATTTTCTATTCGTTTATTGCTCAATTAGCCACACGTTGCGTTAGGACACAGAAGCTTACCTAGACTTGTGTTGCTGACTAAAGATTCATGCAATTAGCCCCTCTGGATTGCATTATAAGTTCATAAGAGTCAGACTCTGTTCTTGTATCTAAAAAAAAAAAAAAGCCCACAGCACATCAAAGTATCTTGCACACAGTAGGTACATAGCCATATGTGCTCTAGGGTCTTCATCCTTTCTCATCCAACTAACCCAAAGGGTCTTAGATTAAGATACATGCTGCAAACATTCAGAGCGTGCCTACTGTGTGCCAGGTAGGATCCAGATCTTCAGAGGACGTGTCAAAGCCCTGCTCTCCAGGAATTCAGCGTTCAGCCTCACCAAAGAGATCCTGTCACCTCACCTCCTGTCACCCTGTAGAGTTCTTGGTCCATGCATCAGGATTCTGAGTTCCCAGCACAGCTGAAGTGTACTGTAAAGTCCTGCAGTGAGTTTTAAGTGACTTTTACATGAACTTTTAGTTTCCAGTTGAAGAAGCAATAGGCTCCTGCCATGCCCACCTCCCATTCAAGGAGCAAGGGAGCCACAAAGATATTCTGCCCGCCCCCACCCACAGCCCGTCACGGCTGTGTTTCAGCCTGGACTCAGAAGACATATCCATATTGGACCAGACCACCGATCGGCTATATTAGGCACGAACTACTGTTTATTCATAGGCTTACAGAACATATCGAATTAAGAGGCATATCGTGTGTTAATTCTATTTTACCAAAAAGAGCTAAACTACATACAGCTTTTAAGATGCATCCATCATTGCCTGCTTACTGTCAAGTACTTTCATATACATATAAACTATTATCTTCCCCTAAGTTATGCGTTTGAAATACATAAAAACAGACCAAATGGCACACTGGCCTGCTTCATCACGGTTCTGGTACATTCCTAATAGTTACAGAGATGGGCATGGAATGCATAATTTCCTACTAGAAGAAGGTGAATTCTGAGACAGCAGTGGCCCGGGAAGGATAAGAACACCTCCATTCTGCTCTCAGGACGTAGCCTTAGGATGCAATCCTTGCTGGAATGCGCATCACACTGGCTTCTCACCATGAATCAGTTTCCTCCGTGTTTCCATGGCGTCCCAACCCTGGACCGCCTTTCTCATTGCACCTGCCTTCCACTCCCGTGCACTGTCGAACAGAATCGCTGGCTGCTGTCTAAGCAAAGAGTTTTCTTCCACAGCTGTGAACAAAGAATCTATCGCTCACAAGTAAAGTCATAAAGCCTGCTGGAGATTTCTTTAGATACAAAACAGATCCCCCCACCCCACCTGCAGACTTTCATCTCTCTTTTACATCCCAGCCAGCCAGGCCAGAGAGATTTTCATCCTGAGTGCTCCCAACAGTCAAAGCTCTAGTATCCCACACTGATCTCTCTCCTAAAAATACCCAGCTTCTCACTGGATGGGAAGAATTGTGCCACACTGTCATTTTCAGTGTGCTTCCTACAGGCCAGGAGCAATTTATTATCACCCATGCTTTTGGGTTTTTCATTTGTCTCTCACAGAACTCATATTGTTGATCTGGTGAGCATGGTGACAAGAACCAGAGGTGTCTGAAGCTCAGCATCCCTTCCAGAGCTATGTGGGAGGGGAGACAACCGTGCCAGCTAGAAATCCTCTTTAGAATAAGAAAAACTATTGGAAATTCCTGGGAGACTTCTGAGGCATCAGAAGGCCCACCATGTTTGTTAATTGTTAAATGGACCGGCTGCTTGAATGGTATCTGTTTGGCATGACTTTCCATCACGCACACTCTGCTGCATTTTTTATTTTATCTCGAGGTGTGGTTATGCCCACAGCTGTGATGACAATGAAAGTCTTCTTTGGGAGGGCATAGCAGAACGTTATAGAAAGAAAATACAACACGTGCTTCGCGTTCAGAAGTGAAGTCCTAGCTTGACCACTCACTACTGGATACACAGGTAGGCAATCCACCTAAATCCTGTATCTACTTTCTTCTCTCTGAAATTAGAACAATGTCTGCCCTCCAGGAAGGTGAAGCATTAAGTCTGACAAATGACAGGAGTCAGATCTACGTGAAAGCAACATAAAGCCTTGTAGAACTGCAAGGTGACTGTATCTACCAACCAACAGCGCTCTGCATCTTTAAACTGTTATCTTCAGTCTTCATAAAGACCTCCTTCCCACCCTTTGGGGTCTGGGACAAGACCTCACTTGATGACAGAGGCCTTAAAACTGCATGACCATGTGGAGTGATCAGTCCAGAGCCTCCCCACAGACGAGCTAAGCAGATGACCACCCATGGGTGATGGCAAAGAAGGAAGAGGCAAGGGCAGCCATGCTGCATCCCCAGCAGGTCTCCACTGGGGACAATCCCGTGGGATTCTCAGCTCGGGGCTTCTGTCATTGCTGCTTGGTCATTTTTTTTGTTTCATAATACTATTGGAAGAAAGCTTCCTGCAGCAACTGCTTAAAATTTCCGAGATCTTGGGATGAGGCAGTAAGATTAATGGAGCAGAGCTCCCGCTGCCCCGTGCCAAAACCATCTCCGCTCCTCTGGTAAGTTGGCCAGAACAAATATCTCCTCCCATAGCACTGAGCCCTGTAGGCTACTTGTGTAAACTTTTGTAAAAAGTAACAGAAAGGGACACTTGGTTACAGCTGAGTGGATTATCCGCCCTCTCACATCGCAGCACCCATGCCTACCTGAGATCATTTGTGTACCCCCAGTGCCCCATTTAGATGCGACAGACCCCCCCATCTCAAGCCCCAGAAATTTCTGGTTCTCCAGATTCTAAACAATGGCCCCCACCATGGCGAGTGCAGGTGGTCAGTGCCTGACATCACCTTGTAAGTTACCACAGAGATGCTGATGCATGGCTGACGCCCCTGTTCCCTCTTCTACAAGCAGCAGGGACGGGGAAGTGATTTCAATCTGATACAGTGCTGGTACTGTCTCACTGTCCCCTGTCCTGTTTGCCCAGTGCACGTTCTCCACTCAGGAGCTGTCTGAGGGGTTCTGGGCACCAGGAAGTGTGACTTGCTGTGCTGGACAGCTGCAGGAATAGCAGAGTGTCTCACTTTCAGCCTGCAACCTGGGACTCTCTGTGTATCCATGGTCAATTCGAATAAATCAACACAGGAAAAGAATGCAAAGAATGATTTGTGCTTCATAAATAAAGACAAACCACTTTCTCTGTCTGCTTGGTATTCGATAGAAAAGTCCCAAACAACCACAGAACCGGGTGTGGGTGAGTGAATTCATGAGAGGTCCTGGTCCCAAGGCTGGCACCTCAGCCTGCGGGTCCAGAATGTGTGTAACAGAGCTGATGGAATGTCAGTATGTTGCTCTAGGTGCTGTTGGTCACTCAGTCTGCATTGCTTGGAGCCAGGAGACAAGTGCGTTCACATTTGTGTCATGATACCTACTTGTGACGTGGCTAATAACCGTGAAACCCAACACTGCAGCACAATGGGATTGTGCTTCTGTGGTAGAAATTTGGTGCATTACTCTGAAAATCCACTTCTAAAGCAGTCTCTTTATTCTCCAAAAAGAACCCACTGCCCAAGCAGAACAGCCACTAAAGAACCAGCCACAAACCAGGTCCCATGAGCATTCTGTCATCCGCACCAAAGGCCCATTCTGAAATAGGCCACCTGGCCCCAAGCATAGACCTAGTCTACAGAATGAAGCTCGCCTGGCTTTAGCTGGTCTCTGCTAACAAACCTGAGAGCCCCATCTGTCCTGGATGCCCCACCACCAACCCCTGGCCCTGTGTGAGTATGTGAGCCTGGGGATCCTTTGCAAAAGTACTGGGAGGAGAAGGTATGTCCCCATCATGAGCATCCCAGGCTGTAATTCTGTGTGCATGGCACCTTCAGTGGGGCAGTGCTAGCCGTGGTAACACCATCAACTCAACAAGGCAGGACTGCTCTAGGAGGAGGGAGGGAGGCAGGTGGGCAGGGCAGGTCGGCAGGTTGCTATTCAATGACTTGAAATAGTAAGTTGTCCAGAGGGCAAAGACATGCATCAATCAAAGAGCCCCCTCTGGGTTTCAAAGCATGTTGAGATCTAAGTAAAGTCCCCTCTGACTCTGGGAAATCTCACTTCAAAAATCCTATCCCACGTGCATCAGATGGAAACATCTGTTCCAGCCCTCCAAAGGACAGATAAAAACACCATTCAGTTTCTGGCCTGTCTGCTGGCTCAAACTCAAAGGATGATTTCAGAGAGGCAGGTGAGTCACAGAACACAGCACACAAGCATTATTGCTCTGGCCACCACGAGGTTCACTTTGAACCACAAGAAACAAGAAAAACTGTCTCACTGCTGGGCCCACAGCCCATGCTGGGATAGACACGTGTTGCCAGAATACTTCTTTTTGTGACAAAGGAAGCAATGTCGAACATTAAGCTGTTATCGAACCAATGACAAGTCCCAGCCATGGGAACCCGTGAAAGAGCCATGGTTCTGCTGGCAGGAAGATTCTGGAAGACTGGGCATTGCTTTCAAGAAACTAGGATGGCTCAAAATAGCACTGCTGAGTGTTCAAAGATTTTAAACTAATCATCAGCAAATCTTTTCAGCTGACTTTGGCTTTCACATTCTTACCAGAAAGACTGCTAAGACGGAATGAGAAGGGTCCACAGGTTGGGTGGCTTGGGTTTTTTTATTTTTTTGTTTTTTTAAATTTCATTATAAGAACTGCTATAAGTCATCCAACTTTCTCCTTCCTATTAAAAAGAAAGAAAAAGCACATTACTTTGTGGATGGTCAGAATAAATGCTGTACTCTTGTCTCAGAAATTACAGGCTCTCAGACATCTTTTTAAACGGTAGGATGGCATGCAGTTAGCCAATAAATGCAATCCCTGATTAAAATGTGAGTCCTAAAATTTTGAAAACTTCTAACTATTTCCCCAGTGCATTTAAGTTGTTTTAATTTCAGAGCTCTGAGCCTGGCTTATTTTATTGTATTATTTTATTTGTTTTCTTTTGGGTCATCTCTCGTGAGAGCTAATGCTACATGTCTTTTCAATTCACCAACCATACCTTCATAAACTTAAGTCAACGATGATATGTTCAAAAATCTTTGTTTTCCCTTTGAAACTGGATGCAAAAAAGAAATCTCTCCTGTCAGTGGAGACGGCCGTGAAGGACCGAGGTGCCTGCACGTAGATCTCCTTGAACTTTTTGAACTGCCGCTTGTCTTTATCCCACTGGTATATCTGTGAGAACGTGTAGTCGCTCCCCAGGGCCAGGTAGTGGTTATCTTTAAAGGAGAAGGGCTGCAAGGTCATGGCCCCCCGGGACGGAAGCGCCTGGACCTCCGAGAACTGCTTACCGTTCCACCGCATGACCCGGGAGTCCCCGATGAAGCGGGTGAGTGACAGGTACAGGTTGTTTTGCATTCGGAAGCTCTTGACAGCTAGCACGTCCTCCATGTTGGGGATGTCACCATGGGGGACAAACTTCTTAGAGCTTTTATTCCACTGGAGGATGAGGGGGACCTGAGAGCGGCTGGACAGGATGAGATGTGACTTCCCGTCAATGTCCACGAACTCGGCGTCTGTGTCCCTGAACCACTCGTGCAGAGACTGGTAGGAGTAGAAGCCTTTGCTGTTCCATTTGTAAACCGTGGACAGACCGGCCTTAGAGCTGTCGGCGATGATGAAGAATGTCTCATCGTCGATCTGAAACAGCTCGATGTCATTGGGCTTGGAGATTCGAGATACTTCTATGTCTTGGAACTTGACAAACTTAGTCCAGCTCTCATCATATTTGTAAATGTGGGAGCCGCCGAAGAGCTGGGCTACCACCACGAAGACCTGGTCGTCAATGAGGATGGCCTTACAGCCCACGATCGACTGGCCTGCGCTCCAAGAAAAATGGGGGGTTAGTGTGGCTGCAGCAAAAAATGTACCCCATGGTGACAGTGTCAGCTGGTGGAAGTGTAAAATGTACCCCACGGTGACAGTGTCAGCTGGTGGAAGTATAAAATGCTATAGAAAACAGTGGCTGGGCACCAGTGACTCATCCTGTTATCCTAGCTACTCAGGAGGCAGAGATCAGGAGGATCAGAGTTCGAAGCCAGCCTGGGCAAATAGTTTAAAAGACCCTATCTCGAAAAAACCTTTCACAAAAATAGGGCTGGTGGAGTGGCTCAAGGTGTAGGCTCTGAGCACTGCAAAAAAAAAAAAAACCAGTATAGCAGCTCCTTGACAAGTTAAACACAGAATGCCATATGACCCACAATTTCACTGTGTCTTGATACATCCCCAAAGAAGGGACAGCAGGGACTCAAGGAGATATCAGAGCCCCAAATGCTACATGCCAAATGTTTGTATGAGCCCCGAAATTCAAATGTTGGAACCTGGTCAAGATGATGGTGCCAGGACGTGGGGCTTGGGGAGGCCACGAGGTCAAAGTCAACATGAAAGAGATTAGTCCCCTTATAAAAGAGCCCCAAAGAGCTTCCTGTGCCCTCCCACCTTTTGAGGACACAGCAAAAAGACTGCCTGCTATGAAGTGGGCCTTAAGCCAGATACCAAATCTGTTGGTGTCTTGATTTTGAACTTCCCAGACTCCAAAACTATAGGAAATCAATTTCTGTTGCTTATGAGTCCCCTGTATGTTGTAGTCTGTTATGGCAGTGCCACAATGGACAAGACATTCTCACACAAAGTATAAACCAGTGTGTGCCATACGCTCGATGGAATACTATTTGGCCTTGAAAAGGAAGGAAAATCTGACACATGCTACAACATAGATGGACTCTGAGGACATTCTGCTAAGTGAAATAAGCCAAGCACCAAAGGACAAACACAGTCAGATTCCACTTACACAGGCCCTTGGGGTCATCAGAGGCCACAGGTTGGTTGTGAAAGGTAGTCCAAGGCTAGGCAGGGGAGAACGAGGAGTTGCTATCAAGTGGGTACACAATGAAAAGAGGCCTGGAGATTGCATGGAGAACCTCGGTGTCCTTAACACTATGGAACAGTGCACTACAAAGCTGTCCCAATGGGAATGGGGACGAGGCACAAGGGGCAGACCACTTGCTGTAGGAGGCCCCGAGTTCAATCCCATGTACCACCAAAATAAATAAAGAAAAAAATGGTCACTTTTTACTAATGACTATTTTACCACAATTAAAATTTTTAACTCTTTAAAAACTATGCCTCCATGGAAATGGGTATTTGAAGTGGCCAGGGCCTCTGGAGTTCCCACTGTGCTGCCCTCAGAGAAAGCAAGGTATTTCATGGTAAGTGTTCTCAGTACACATGGGAGAGACCAGTCATTATGGGATAACTTAAGCGACTTCTTGATAATCCAAGGACGGCCCTCGTGCTGCCCAGGGCAGGCACTGCAGAACCATTTACAGAATTGCACACCTGTCTGAGCCATCTTGCTCAGGGGGCACAGCACAGGACTCCCCAGGGTCAGGGGACATGTTGACTCTCCTCTAGGTCACCAACTCCCTCCTCTCCCCAGCCTCTGCAAACACCCATTGCTTCTCCCACGTCCGCCCCCACACAGGACCCCTTCCTCATTCCAAAAGGCCTCCCAGCAAGGAGAGGACAACCCATGTCTCAAGACCACTGACCCTCGTTCCATTTCTCCTTTCACTTATTTGTAAGTAATTTGAACCAAAGTGAGTTTGGTCTGTAAATGACAAGGATAACGACCCCATTTCTGTCCTGAGGGATTAACTCCAGGGCCAACAGTGGCTTTCAGAATGGTTCTTATGTTTCTCTTCCACTGTTCTGGACTCCTTTCAAGAACCTGGACCCTTGCCTTTGTTTCAAACAAACCATTGATTTTTTTCTTGATATAAAAGAGTGTCCATCAATGAAAAGTTTGAAAACAGAAACAGGTAAAACTTATAATAGTGGTAGAAAACCAGTCACTATCCTAAGCACTTTTCCATATATCTAACCTCATAACCACCATCAGGCACACTTCTTATCATTATCCCAAAGGATGGAACTGAGGCACAGGGAGGTTAAGCAACTTATACAAAGTCACACAGCTAGTACATGGTGGAACTTGGGATTTAAATCGAGCTAGCATGGCTCTAGTCTGTACCCTACCACCAAAGTACTAAAAAGCAAAGGAAGAAAATAAAAACCACTTGCATTGCAAGTATTAAATAAAACTTAATATCATGCTATACTTAATCTATACATAGATATAGATATATTATAGCTATAGACAAATCTATAGTGTATTTATAGATGTGATCTATAAATATATACCATGGAATATTTAATCTATAAATCTATAAAGTCAAATATGCTTCTTTTTAAAAATTGGGGCTTGTATCAAACACATGCTTTTTTATGACCTACTTTTTTCTCCCTTGATTCCTGTGTTGTAAACATTTTTCCCAGGTTCCTGAATTTTCTGCAACTTGCTTTTTGTAAAGTACTACATAGTAAGTACTCCATGGTATGAATTCACATTTTATTTAACTAATCCCTACTGCTGGACACAGCAGTTATTTCTAGATTTTCATTATTGCTAAATGCTGTGCTTCCTTTAGCACATTGTTAAAGACCACGTTCAAAGTCGTCTGGCAGCGTTTCTTAATTGCTGGGGCAGATGTGCCTACTTCTATGGCTTTGGGCTGAAACTGCTAAACTGCCCTTCACAAGCTGCCTGGGTTTCCAGCCAGCTGACGCAGTTCAGAGTGCAAGCCTTCTTCTCCCAAACGGCCCTGGAGGTTTGTCTGTCTCTGCCAAAGGGCCACGTGAGACAAAAAGGATTCCTTTCTTGGAGATGCCACCAACACCTCTGCCCAAGTAACCACTTTTAGCCCACAGAAACAGCAAAGATCTGTATCTGTGTGTGTCTCTATGTAGCCTGGGTGTTTGTGTGTATCTGTATCTGTGTCCCTCTGTGTCTCTGCACATATCTGTGTATCTGCCTCTGTGTGACTGTGTGTATCTGCGTCTGTGTGTGTGTATGAGTGTGTCTGTGTCTGTGTCTGACTGTGTCTTTGGGTGTGTCTGAATGTGTCTGTGTGTGTGTCTCTGTGCATGTATACCTGTTTGTCTGCATCTGTGTGTTTGTATGTCTGTGTGAGTGTGTCTATATGTATCTACGTCAGTGTCTCTGTGTGTAACTGTGTCTGTGCATGTCTCTGTATGTCTGTGCATGTCTGTGTTTCCGTATCTGTGTGTGTCTGTGTATGTATGTCCGTGTGTGTGTGTCTGTATGTCTGTGTGGTGTGTCTGTGTGTGACTCTGTGTGTGTGTCTGTGTGTGTGTTTTAATGGAGGAAGATGAATTACAGATTAGAACACTCTTAGCGTGCAGAAATCACACAGCAAACCAAATAAACTCAAAGCAGGAGAGGTGAGAAGTGACTAGAAGATGCTAAGGAGAGAAAGGAGCAAGCATTGGTGTGAACCTACCCCAGGGTTCTCTCTGCCCATGGACACGGAGCATCATGCATGGTGGTCACCAGGGCCAGAAAAGGGAAGTAGGTGCCTCTGATTCCTTAGAGCTCCCACCTTGCAGGTACAAGTTGGAAAGTCCTGCTCAGCCCTTGCCAACTCTGGGGTCAGAGTTGGCCAACAAGACAAGGAGCACTGCTCGGCCCAGGGAGGGGAGCAGCACGTGTGCCGTGCCACCTCACTCTTGTCCAAGGCAAGGGGCAAGTCCTGGAGGTCTTAACTGAAGTCAGAAGGCCCGGGTGTGCGGGGAAGGAGAACTGGCCCTCTCCTACCCTGGTGGATGATGAATGCTAGAGCTTGTTGTAGGCACTGTGCCTTTAACACCTCGCCCTCTACATCCCACGAGATCCCCAAGCCCAGCCCTGTGCTATTCCCTCTTTACAGATACCATGGAAAGTCATAAAATTCCCATTTCCAGATGAAAGGGACCCATGGGAATTAAATAACTTGGTCAAAGTCCTTAGCCAGGAAGAGGTGGAGTCAGGATGATCAAAAGCCAGCCTGCTGTGGTGCTCAAACTTCTAACGACCATACTGCTATACCCCGTTTCTCTGGCTTGGCTGTGGAAAGAGAACCCAAGCAGGCTTCACATTGAGTCTCCCAGCTCTCAGAAGATCCAGCCTTGGTGGGAAAGGGCTACGGAGTCTCTGGAGAACAGTGGGTCCAGTCCAGGCTCAGACCTTGGTCACACCCGCTCCAAGGGTGCTGACCACTCAGCACCCGTCGCCCCTGAAGCCTCCACCAGGTCCAGGTGGTCACTGCATTCCTAGGGTCTGGATTCTTAATTACTTGTTCTGGGGTCACCTTTGAGCTCTGCCCCCACGCCCTGCAAAGGCTCAACCTGGCAGCTGGACCAACCCAGCCCCGGCATCCTCCCAGGAAGTTATACCAGGCCTTGCAGAGCACCCATGCTAAAAGCCCAGATCCTTCCCAGTACCACAGCCCTCCTGTGACCAGCCCATCAGACTTCTCTACTAGTCAACTGCACCTGTCCCCCCGGTTCACTGTGCTCGTGCAAACCAGCCCCCGGATGCCCCTCAGACTGGAAAGATGTGCTCTGCCTCTGGGCCTTTGCACTTGCCATTCCTCTGCTGAATGCACCTCCTCCAACTTTCCACCAAGACCAACCAGATCTTATCCAACCAGCACCTTCTTAATGAGATCTCTGCTCCCTAAAGGATGCTCTCCCTAAAACTTCAGCCCTCCCACATAGTGTTCTTTCCTTAGCTGCTTTCTCTCACCTTAGCACGTTGCTGTCTGATACAGATTTTATACATTAAAATTATTAGTCTCATTCTCCCTCTCCCTAGTCTCCCAATGTAATGGAAACTCAAGGGACAGAGGTTTGGACTTGGCTTGTTTGTGGCTATGTTTCTAGCACCTAGAAGGTGCCTGGCTCAGGGTGAATGCCTGAGACATGTTGAGAAAGAAAGAAGAAAGGGAGGGAGAGAGGAAGGGAGGAAGGAAGGAAGGAAGGAGTGAGTGAGTTGGGGATGTCACCAGCTTCAGTATGCCACAAGAGCAGATCAGAGAAGGTGCTATTCCTTTCTACCAATGTCACTCTGGGACAGAGAGGAGGTGGGGTGTCACAGTAACAGATCCCAGCTCTGTCCCTGAATGCACAGTAAGTGCATGAGCCTTGACCTTGTCACTTGCAAGGTTGTACTTGCTCTGCGCTCAGGCCTCAGAGGGGTAGGACCTCCCAGCATGTCACAGAGAACACAAAGTGTCAAAGCCTGTGCTCTTCACAGGTTGACAGGCCACCTGTCTCTCCAGAGGACTTTTATCCCAGAGGCATTGGAGATCCTCCTACTAGAACAAAGCCCTGCCCTGCAGATGGAGGAGGGGGGACAGAAGCCACCATCTCCCAAGTCTAGGAAAAGAGGAAGCCAAAAGCCTCTAGGACATCTAGCTGCTCTTTCCTTTAACACAATCGGCCTTGGGCAGTGCCACCTGCAACACTCTGACTGAGCCTGCACTTCTGGCAGCTGCTCCCAGGACAGAGCTCCACACTGGAAGGCCAGATGGCTATGGTGGCAGCAGCTGCTCCTCCAAGATGGCATCTTCTGAGAGCATCAGCACCGGCAGTAACATTAGGCTCATTGGCCACTCTTCCCCCAGTGGTGAAAGCCATTCCTGTGCCTCCCAATGTCCCTGCACTTGCTGTGAAGTCACTTGTGCCTGCAGCGTCCTCGGAACCTCCCAGGCCACCACAGGCCATGGACATAGCCCATTCTGACCACCATGGTGAACCACAGCCTTGGGTCAAACAGGTGCCAAGGAGGGAACCCTCCCGCTGGCTAGCACTGCTGTCAGCCACGCTTGGACAACTGAGAAGTCTTTGAAGGGTTACTGCATTTTAACTTCCCCCACTTATTTAAAAAGCAAGTAGATTCTATTTTTAGTATCACTAAGACCCTGGGACCGAGATAGTATTGGAAGAAGAATTAGCTGAATCAAATCCAAGGCCTGGATTTGGGGACCTGTTTCTTCTTACTTTATATGTACTTTTTATTAGTATATTATTGTTGTACTGGGGGTACACTGTGACATTTACAAAAGTGCTTACCATGTGTCTTAAATTCACCCCTTCCACCATTCTCCTTTATCCTCCCTTCCCCAATTCTGGGGACAGTTTCAACAGGTCTTGCTTTTCTGTTTTCATACATGAGTACATATTATTTCCACCATATTCATCCTTCTACACCCTTTCCTTATACTGTCCCCCCTCCTGCTGGTGCCACCCCCAAGACAGGACCCCATTTACGTTTCTGTCCTCCATTTTTGAAAAAAACCACTACATTTCTGTATGTCTAAGATATCTGCACAGAGAGTTTCACTATGACCTTTTTATGTACATATGTACTATAACCTGAATTTTTAAATGAATCAGTGATCACCAAAACCTGGCAAGGGAACACAAGTTGCAACAGTGTGTGTGTGTGTGTGTGTGTGTGTGTGTGTGTGTGTGTTACCATCCTAGTTAACAACCAGCTAGCTTAACAAACCAAAGCTAGGGACTGGGGCACATCTCAGGTGGTACAGCATCTGCCCAGCAAGCACAAGGCCCCTCAAATCCCCCCAGTATATGCCAAAAAAAAACCACCCAAGGCTATCACCCCATTTCGCACAGGACTTTTCAGCCCTCCTCAACATGCCTCTCCTCTCCCTTCTCAAAGAGACCCCCAACACTGAAAAGGACCCTGGCTCCCAGATGTTTCTGCTCTGATCATGGGAGGAACACTGGAGTGATCTTGGGGCCCGGGTGACTGTGGTCCCCACCTCCGGCCCAACTGAGCACCACGCCTCCCCCCTCCCATGTGACAGAGGACAGCCTCCTCTCCTGGCCCTGCGGGTGCACCTGTGATGTTGTCGTAGCTGCGGAAGTTCATCTCAATGTGGTCCCACTCCAGCACCATGCAGTTCTCCATGCTGGGCTGGGCGATGGCCACGAACACGTCATTCTTGGAGTTGAACGTGTCCACTGACACGGACTGGTAGGGCAGAGTCTGATGGACGACAAAATCTGGGAATGGTGTGAAAAAAAGATCATAAAATCGCTTGTGGGAATTCCAGCAGCTGCTGTTATCTTGCATGGGCTCCAGAGGACTGGGGAGAGAGGCTTTTGTTTGTTTGTTTGTTTTTTGCAGTGCTGGGTTTGAAATCTTGCCAGGCAGATGCTCTACCGCTTGAGCCACTCCACCAGTCCTTTGTGTTTTAGTTATTTTTCAGATAGGACCTCATACTTTTGGGGATGGCCTCACAGAGAGATCCTCCTACCTACACTTCTGAAGTAGTCGGGATTACAGTCAGAAATACCACGTCCGCCTTTTTGATGAGATGGGGGGTCTCAATAACTTTTTTCCCAGGCTGGCCTAGAACTATGATCTTCCCAATCTTTACCTCTCAACTAGCCGGAATTACAACCATGTACTACCGCATCAGGCAGGACCTCAATGCTTCAGATACATTTGGTGTCAAAAAGCCAGAGTAGAAAGGAGGTGACAGAAACATTCTAGAAGCTGTCATGCAAATTACTCAATGACAAAGGGGTGCCAGGGTCCAATGAGTTTGGGAAATACTTCTAGCCCTCTTGGAACAGTCCCTGTAGGAAAGAAACCTGCTTACTTTTGTGTGACACGGTGCTTCTCAAACTCACCTGACACAGGGACTCTGATCACCTGTGATTGTGCGCCCTTGGGAAACAGCAGCCTGGAAGAATCGAAGCAAACACTGCAACTGCACTTGGCACAGGGCACACCAGGGGTTTCGAAACCAAGTTTCCTGCCTGCCACCACTAGGGTCAGAGGCTTATGAACCTGAGTGTGCTCCCTGGCCACTGGCAATGGTGCGTGCCAAGAGCTGTGCCTGGATCTGGACAGCATGGCGCAGATTGGCAGGCGGGTGAGGACACCTCAGGGCTGCCAGGCATCTCGGCCCGCATGTCCTCACGGGTGTGCTGAGTCTATGCAACTCAGCCCATGGCTCCCCTGAGCTACAACTGACTCACTGAGATAAATCTGGGAAGGACAGACGTGCCAAGGCACAGGGTGAGCAAGGATCGAGGGTGTGTGGGGTAGCAGGCGAATCTAGAGAAGGAAGAATCTGTACTTAAAAACACGCTCATAAAGCTTAAGGAATAAGGTTGGGTTTTGGCCAGAGATGCTTTGAGGTGCGCTGCTCTGTGGTAATGAAAGTCCCCACGTGTCTGGCTAAGGACAATCACTGCACCAGGAAATCTGGCTTTGCCCAGCTTTTCTCATCTCATCCTTACCCATCCCCACTCAAATACCAGGTATTCCTCAAGGCCCTCCCTGGCCCATCCAGTCCATGAAAGCCGTGGGCTCATCCCGAGGCCCTGCTGTTTACATCTTATTCACTATGACTCCGGAGTCCAATTTAGAGCTATCTTAGAGCCTTGAGTCATTTTATAGAGCCCAGAGAGGGTGACACCTGGCCATGGCCACACAGCCAGTGGGGTACACTTCCCAGATGAAGGACATCTTGAACCTGGGTCCACCGCATCTCCCAGACTCCCATAGCTCAAGCCTATGGCAACCACTGAAAAAATAACTGCTGGTTGAGAAGTCTCATCAAAGATGTCCTGTGAGACAGGTACCAGGGGGGCCTCGGTAGTGAATAAGGGATGGGGATGAAGCAGCAGAGGCAGAGTTGAGGCAGGAAGTGGGGGGAGGGGCAGAAAGGACAGATAGGGGGTGCTGCTCACCTTTCCAGGTCTCAGTTCACTGTCACAAAGTGGGGGATGGACATTGATCTCCGCAGCTTGGTGGCAGGGGCAGAATGAAATGAAATGAAATGATAGGCGTGTGAATGAAAACGCCTATCTCAGGGCTTTGTACATTAATAAACATTGACTTTGGTCCAAGGAAAGAAAGTCCCCTCTTCTGTCCCAGCCCAGCTTTGGTGGAGTATGCATTTAATGGCATCTAAGATAAGACCCTGGAGCTGGACTACCACCTCTGGCTGAGTGACCTTGGGCAAACAGCCTCTCCTAAAGCGTCCCCATCGTGAATCCTCAAAGAGCTGCTCCTCGCCCACGGCAGGGCACAGCAGGTGCTTCAGAAACTTTCGTCCTGCTGAGTGGGCATGGTCTGCTCTTGCCCCAGATCCACTCTGAAGACTGTGGGGCTGGCAAGGTGCTGAAGGATGCCTCCGAGGCAGGGAGGGAGGAGGGGAGCCAGCAGGGAGCTGCCTCTGCAGCCAGTCAGGTGGCAGATGACCAAGGGATGGTGGAAAGACAGTGGCTCTAGAGGACAGGGTATCTCCCACACCCCAGCAAAGAGCAAGGCATCCTGAGAAGAGCTGAACTTTGAGGTGAGGCAAAGCAGCTTCAGTCCTCACCCTGCCATTGCCAGCTGTGACCTGAGGCAGGAAGAGGAGCCTAGGTTCTGAGGCTGGCCATAGAGTTGACAGCCCAGCGCCCAGCCTTGCAAATTGTGCCACGGTTTGACACATGGAGCAATGACCACACTGTGGGGCCTGATGGAGACTCAGAGGCTCCAGCCCCAGCCTGGACCCACCCCAGATGTAACAGTGTTGCTCGGGTAGGAACCAAGACAAGGGAAAGGTGGCTCATTCCTCCCATTGGCACTGGCAGCGCCAACGCAGAAGCCAGAAGGTGCTGATTGACTGGGGCTCCACTGCTGTGTTCACGGGCAGAGAATGAGGGAGAAGGACACAGAGTGCTGCCCTTCTGTCTACAAGGACTCAAAATGCAGCTACACTTTTAACTACAGCAGAGATGGCTGTGAACTCAATCTCCATCTTGGGTCATTCCTGTCTACAACAGTTTCTATCCACCCTCCCTCCCATTGCTCTTGGTTCTCTTTAGTCCCTCAACCGAGTTCTTAATTCTCAGACCCTAAGAGCATTTGCTTTAAGTGGAAGCTGTTTAAAATACAGACCAAATGTTTCTGTTTTTACTGAGGAGTCGCAAGATGAAGAAGAGTCAGCCTTCCACGGCCCTTTTCATTTTTTTTTCCAAACAGTGGTTCATACCATTTTCTATACACTGACTACCTGGCATCACACAGACTGTTAAATCACTTGAATGACAAATCTAATTCTTAATGGAGTCACTGCTCCCCAGCCCCACCATAAAAAGAGAGGAAGAAGGAAGAAGAGAAAAAGAGAAAAGAGAAGAAAATATCCCAAACACACAGACTGATGTGCGTGCCTTTATGCTTTCAGGATAGGGCTGAATTCGCCTTTCCCAAATGGCCAAAGCATGTGGACAGACCTCAAAGAACACACATACTGCTGTGATGTCAATTTACTGGTGTTAAAATATTAATGGTGCTGTCTGCCAGAAGAGACGCCACTTCCATTCACAGAGGATGTCGTGTTCGTGATGTCAGTGGGTCTCTTACAACCGAGGCCTCTTTTCACTGGAATCCACAGATTTTTACATGGCTATTTATAGCACTGGCAGAAAATAAATTATACATGATGCTGAGCCTATGGGGAGAGAAAGCGCACATTGCTGCATTATTTCTCTTCACGTTTTCATCAGCTCCAAAATAGGGAAGCTAACAGGACAATTAGGATACAAAATTCACTCCCTCCAAGGACTTTAGTGAAGTAACCCCCTAACACAGGGAAGCCTAAGAAGGTAACAGGGATTTTGGAGTGGTTAAAAATAGACTGGAAGGGGAGGGTACAGAAGAACCGTGGATAATCTGAACAGCAGAGCAGCCCAGTGGGGGCTGGGTGGTACTAATTACTCCCCTTTGCCCAGGTACGGGATAGTGAGGACACCTTCCTCTCTCTGGGCAAAACAGGGAGAGATCTGCCTGGCAAAATGTGCTCTTTCCTGAAAATCTGAGCCAAGAGAGAAACTGCACCAGGAAAATGTGCTTTTCCCAAACCTTGAGCAAAGAAATAAGCAAGGTTCCCTGAACTCTGCAGTCGGGCTTTCCATCTTCCATCCGCCCTCTCTAATCTCCAGCCCAGTCTCTAACAAGGCTCCAGAGGACAAGACATGGCCTGAGCAGAGGACAGGAACCCAACACTCACAATGCATTGATTTTGTTCTTACCCCACAGAGACTGTATTTGGGAGTGGGTTACACTCTGTTGCAGTTTCTGATGGAAGAAACTGTGAGCTTTCCCAAGAGCTTTGAAGCAACAGAGATAGCAGAGGCATTTCCCTCTTTCCAGAAAGCCTGAGCTTCCAAACCTGAGAAGAAAGTGTGCTGACAAAGACAAACTGCACACAACAGAAGCCCTAACACCTGTCAGGAGGGCCATGCTGCCCTGGGTTTCAGAACCTGGCTACCTCGATTCCAAGCCCTCACCTTTCTGATGAACAATTCCCAATAATGCCTGAATCATTTTTATAGCCATCCAAAGAACCATTGGATCAGAAAGTAAGTTTTCTTGTATAAATGATTCCTTGTGCCCAAGGCCCTCTGTAGCCAAGGTCTGTCCTTTCACACACTAGCAGGATTTTCAAACACTGTGGCATGTTCTGGTATGAAAAGAACAGTGGAAGATGCCAACCTCACCTTACGGTTTAGAGAATGCTCCAGAAAAACTGGAGAAAAGGCAGAGAGCTCTGGTTTAGCACCTAATACCCAATAGTCTCAAATGCTACCTTTTGGTGCAAATGTCATTGACTGTGACCTCTGATTCATTGCACCAGCCCTTAGGTACAATAAATAACCCCACAGTGGCCTCAGCTGGCTGGAGGGCAGTTGCCAATTACACAGCTGAATAAACACCTATTCAATGATAAAACACAAGGACACCTCAGGTTTCCTACAAAAAAAAAAAACCTAGTATTTGTAGGGTCCCTTATCTACAGACAAGGACATCTGGAGATAATTTTCATTTTGTGGGTTTTGTTTGTATTGAGGGTGGTAGCCGGTTCTGGCCTAAATGTAATACTTTGCTCTTGGAATTTTGGAATATTTCAGTTTCTATAATTATATCCCGAGTTCTTGTTCCTCTCACTTCTCCTGACATGCCTTGAGGCTTTATAGATATCAGCTCTCGGCCTAGCTGTTTATTTTCATGAACATCTAAAAGGCAAACTTCACACTATAGCTTGATCCTCTCTCCTTTAAAAATCTGGTTTTAGAAGCTGTAGAAACTGGCCTGAACCTTTCATATGGAGATACTCACCTGCTCCCCACCTGCTGGGACTGCCAGGTGCTGGTATTTCAATTTTATTCTATATATGACTTGAAACCCTGAGACAGTTGCTAGGAAAACAAAGTCCAACCTCCTTCCCATCTCCCCTCCACATGAGTTTTTTTCTTTGACAACTAGCTGCCGACATTCATTTTCTACTTTGCCATTGGTTATAACTTATCTAGCTAGCTCTTCTTCCATGGAGCTATGAAAATAATCTGTAGATTTAAAACTCTGGTATTAAATTTCCAATAAACATCATCTTATCGAATCAAGAGAAGAGAGATGAGAGAACTGTTTTAACCTCTCTGCTCTGGCTTTCCAGGAAACTGGCAGATTTGAAAATGGTCTCATGGCCCAATTCACGAAAGTCTGTATTTTGATCCTTAGTGAGGAAAACAAAAAACCTCAGGGAATTTGAATTTTGTAAGCAATCAGAATTAAAAGTCAGTGCAGTGAACAAAAATCCTTCTAAATTATGGAGATATTTTCCTAATCACATCGTTTCTGTTAGAATGTTAAATGTTCTTTAAGTACTTTTGGTAGAAAACCTCAACATTCACTTTCCCCCACCCCTTGTTGACAGTATAAGAAAACAAAGCAATTTTGCTAAATATCCATGTTTGGGCCAAGTATGGTGATGCACACCTGTGGTTCCAGCTACTTGGGAGGCTGAGGTAGGAGGATCTGAGTGTGAGGCCAGCTGAGCAGGGGAAGTTAGCAGGAGACCCTATCTGAAAACAAACTCTAAAAAAAAAAAAAGCAAAAGGACTAAGTTCCATCCCCAGTACTAGAAAATAAACGAACAAATGGCCAGCCTTGAGGAGGTAAGTTCTGCTACCTGTAGTTGTGCATCCGTAGTCAAAGCTGGTCACATCATTGAGTTTCTTTTCCTGGTATTCTGGTGGACCAATACACAGCACATCAGAAACAGTGGAATTCGTCATCTTCAGCCATAGGTACAACCACTTGGCTTTGCAGTCACATTCAAATTTGTTACCCCTTAAATCTCTAAAAATCAAAACAAAACACAAAACCGTACACAGAGAAACAGACACATATGACATGTGTTGGCAGTGATCTGAAACACTGTAACTATTAACATCCTGATATATTTGAAATCCCCTAAAAAGTGTAATTTAAAACATACATGTTTGGTTTTTGTACATCCTATTTCTTGTACTTGTCATTGTCTTTATTTAATGTTCCATGGTGCTGAAGCAGGAGGACAGATGAGGAGATGGGGAAATTATATTATTTTAATAAATATTTAAAGGACCGGACTCAGACACTGGAAAAACTGAAAAGCCAGAGCAGCTAGCACCCTCCCGTCTCCTTTTAAATGCTAAGTTACAGGAACAGAGAGACAAAATGGTTACCTGCTTCTGCTTTCTGCTTTGAGATATTAACAAGCTGCAAGGATCCTTCAATGGATAGAGGAAAAGGCTTGTCTGGCAGAAGGAAGTCCTAAAGTTCACCTATTGTTTTGAATGGGTCTAGGTAACACCTCCATACTTCACAATAATAAACAGCACCCATCTTGGGTACTCAGAACCTTTATCTAGTGATTAGCGCTGCTAGACTTTCACTTGATGATGTTATGTTTCCCCACATTACAGCTTAAATATCCCAGGAAAGGATAGCCATTTTTGAGCCCGTTTCCACCCTTGCACTACTAGCAGGAAGTCTTTTCTCCCTTCTCCTTAAATTTCTCTGTACTTTATCCTGTTACACTAAAATAAATCCTTGGTAAACCTTCTACCTTGTGAGACTCCTTGTTGTGAGACACTTTGAAATGTTTTACATCTATGGATTTCAAGGACCTGTAGTTTTGCATGAAAACTGGGAAGCTGTGGGAGCCTCCTCATCTGCCTCCACCCCCAGCATAAATTGGCGAACCAGCCAGGAGTTGACCATCACAAGGTATGGAAAGCGTTTAGCTTTGGAACTTTTCTCTCTAAATCTGTCTCAGTCATGGTGGAGGTTTTTTCATGTCTCCTACTGTCTCCTCTCATGGACTGGCCACCTGAGCCTGAGTGAGGACAACAGAAGCAAAGATGGATGAGGAGGAAGAGGAAGGGAGAGAGAGAAGTTCTACTCAAGTCCCACTGTCAGTTTTCTCAGCCTCCCAAGTGACACAGAATCCCAGGGTTAAAAACACAAAATCAATTGGGAATTTAAACGGCATGTGGCTGCAGACTGGAACTGCTTCTCTCCTGGATGTTTTTCCACCTAATTCTAAGTCTCTAAGTCTGCCAAAACACTCTAACTGTTTTCTCCATTAAGTCTTTTGAGATGGGTTGTTTTCCCATTGCAGACATGTCAAGAAACTGCATAACACAGAGAAAGCTCTCAAAGATGACATTTCTCCCAACCCTCTTGAAATTGTCCCCATGCCATGGTGGAAATGGGAAGGGACAATAGTTGATGAACACCAGCCAACACAGGTTCTCAAAAACAAAAACAGAACTTCATAAGAAGGCAGTATTCCCAAACACAGTTGAAATTTTTAAGGGCTTGTCAATCTATATCCAGCTAGACATGCCAGTAGATGATAACAGACATAAGTGCACCATTTCAGAGTATGGCAACCTCCAATACAGACAGCCTAATTTATCGTTGGCCTCCTGGCACTAAATGTCATCAAACGGCACAGTCCACCACAACACAGCCTGTGTGCTGCTTCCCCATGTGCACTGTTCTGCTATTGATTTTTAGCTATGACATAAAAGAAATATAGCAAAGAATCAAAGGGGATTGAAATATATGATTAACTGGGGCCCCATGACAAGGACATGCAAACTTCATGTCATTACTTACAGCTCAATCAGAGAGTCCAGGTCACTGAAGACGTCCCTTGGCAGTGCTTTAATGTGATTATTGGCCAAAGAACTAGAAAGAAAGAGTCACACTTTAATGTATTATTATCTTCATGCCTGGTCACTGTGAAGTCCCCTTGAACTCTGCTAATGGCTGAGTTTAACCAGTTTAATCAGAGTTCTGAATCTCCTTATTACAGCAGAGTTCAGTTCCTGGCTTTGATTACCCATACTGCCAGACATAAGTTTAGTTAGACAAAGAAAACACAAATACTGGATTATCACGTAGCTTCTTTTGTTTTTAAAATGGCTATTAAGTTCTTTGTGTGTCCACTTATTAAACTGCAGATGGCTTTCTAGGCTTCCTGGAATCAAAGCCAAAGTCCCTTTGATGGTGGGCAAGACCCTTCACACTCTAGATTCTGCCACTTGTGCGTGACTGAGAGGCTGCATAGCCCACTGCACAGATCCAGCCACACCCACCTCCTCACTATCCTTCAGAAGGGTCTCAATGCCTTGCACCTGCTCCCCTCCCTGGAGCCCACGATAGCCCATGGCTCACTCCATCACCAACATTAGGTCCATCTGTGCTCACCCATCACCACCTTCCTGACCTCTGCATCCCAACCTCTTTCCTGAATTTTAATTATCTGTTTGTGTATAAGCTGTGTGTCCTCCCTATTCATAAACAGTATGAGAACAGAGATTACTGTCTGTCCATGGCTGTATCCCCAGTCAGTGCTGGTACACAGCAAGTTCTCAGTAAATCTTTGTGGAACAAATGAATTCAGCACCAAAGTGAAAGTCATGGCAGCAGATGTACAGTCTTGTCCCAGGGTGTTCCCTGGTGGTCCAGCTAAGTGATTTCTCTCACTTGTGACTCTGACTCCATGAATACTATCTAGAGAAAGACACTCGGTCCCAACCCCTAAGACAATACAATAAGATCTCAATGAGCCAGCATGTTTAGGGAATGACAGTTAGGATCAATCTCATTTTTTCATCAACAAGGGTGGATGGGAAACAGTTCTGAGTGTTTGCTCTTCCTGCTGACAGTCTTTACAAGATGCTAACCCACTCTCCACCTCCAGGAAGCCGACCAGCATCTTCCTGATGATTCAGGATTCTGCAGTGCCATGTCATCTCCTGCTGAGGATGGATGTCCATGGAACAGGGATGTAGTAGGAAGATGCTGGGTATTGAAAAAATGTACCTCAAGTCTGTGATTCCCCCAGGTACCACGCACCAATATGAGTCAGCCAATAAACTGATGTCTACTTGCTCTTTCTATTCGGATGAGCACAAATGGAAAAAATGTGTAAGTGATAAACACAGAAGTGATTCAGCACCAACCTCTTTAAAATAAATATGAATTTAGTCATTCCTAGTTTCTTCATGCACAATCCCAGAAAGACCATTAGAGAAATGGGTATTCTTCCTCATAGTCAGTCAGCTGGGTATGATAAAACCTGAGCTCACTTTTAATCCAAATATTCCCACTTCACAATACCTCCTGAACGTGGGGAGACTGATAGTTTCAGAATGAAAATGACAATGGATTAAAATACGCTTTCATGTACTATTCTACATTTTTTCCTAAATGATTTATTCATTCCTTTTTTAATGTGTTGGGGAAAGAGGCCGAATATCTAATCAGACTAAACATACTCCAGGAGTACATTTTGGAAATTTTAGAAAGGGCTATTAGTTTCCATTTTTTTTTTCCTGATTGATGGTGGCTTTTTTTTAATACTTTGCAAGTACAAAAAGGTTTAGCTAATTAAAGGTTAATTATTTAGCTAAAAATTTGAGCTAATTGAATGATTACTGAAATGGTAAGAATACTTGGGATGGCTGGAGCCTAAAAGCAGAGTGGTTAGCAGTCATCTCAAGCTTACAATTTAGGTTTTGGAAAGCAGCATCAATTAGATGGGTTATCTGCCCCTTGCACTAGGTGCTTAACATCTTCTACCTCATTCTGGCCATAAATTCATGGCACTTAACTTCATTTCTAAAACTACTTAACAGCTCCCTGTCCCTTGGGCTTTATACGACCGCTAGAAAACAAATGCCCTAGATTTCAGTTACAGGTTGGCAGGGTTCCTTCAATGCTCTGCCACCGATCTACATTTCTTTACGATGAATATGAGTCTGTAGGTGTTGGAAAGGTTCACAAAGATACAAGTCAGACACGAGATTTAAACAAGCAAATTCCAGGTTGGGATAGTACTGAACTTGAGTGCTGAGGTTTTCTCTTTATTAGAAGTTTAATCAAAGAGGGAGAGGGGGATGGGTTCATTCTTTAAATGCTGTAATAAATGCTTTGATTATTAAACTCATCGTCAGCCTAGAGGAGCCAACTTTGAAAGTTGCTGACTTTCCTGGAAATAGAGCACACATGGAAAACTCAGCTTAGGAAGGAGCTCATTGGCTACCAGGGAACCAGAGCAGATCCTGCTGTCTCAGCCCAAGGTGGACACTGGGAGGCCTCTAGGACCCTGCCCTGATGGAGCACTCCACACCACTGGGATATAAAACTAACACCCCTGAAACAAGATCAAGCCATGTGGCGGGTATAGCCGGTCAAGTGCTGATGGAAGAGGGCACAGGGGACATCGGGAATGATTTATGGGGACATGGACCCTGCTCTGGACTCTGAAGGAAATGGTAGATTCTAGCGGACCAAGGGCGGGAGAAGCAGCATCCCAAGCCAGGAAGGGGATGTGAGGAAAAGCCCAGCAATGAGATAAGTTGGGTGTGCAGAGTTGGAGGTTACTATGGACCTGGGGTTCTGGGGACATTCAGAGCAATGAGGCTGAACTGCTGCGGGGAGGGCTGCACAGGCTTAAAAGCAGAGTGATGACACTCCTGACATAAGCCATGTGATGTCCTCTGATCCCAAATAGAGGATTCCCTGGTTCCCTCTGTATTTACGCTCTCCACGTGTCACTAAGGGGGTGCATCTCACACACATGTGCTCGTGATGACACATGAAATAACAAATGCACAAGCATGCACACACAAACACACTTATGCACACACACGTATATTGTCCATGTACCCATAGGCACACGTGCACAATGGTATACAATACACATGCCCAATACATGTTTACACCCTCCTACTGACAGAGGCAGTGCCGCCCATGGGACCGGTGAAAGTTCTCGTCTGAACTTACTCAGGGGCACAGTGTGCTTTGCTTTGGGCTCAAAATGTGCCCAGAGCCTCTGCTCAAAAACAAAGCCCCTCATTCTGACTTCTGGGGACCAGACTTATCTGGCCTCATCTGTTCCTCTGCAGACACCACAGCTGGAGGTTCATTTCATAGACCCCCGTCTGGCCACCCAACTGCCAAAGAATTTACTCTTACTTAGGCCAGCAGACTACAGAGAAAATGGAAGCTCCTTAACGACCATGGGAAGGAAATGCTGCTGTTACTAGTGGGGATGGTGCTGCCACTGATCACACCTTGAGCAGGTGCAGTGGGAAATGGCCAGATGATTTTCAGGCCACCGTGATTAACCTGCTCTGTATAGCAACTCTATGAAGTCAGTATAATCCATCCCCATCTTAGGGATGAGAAAACTGGGGCTCAGAAAAGCTAAGTAACATTATTCAATGATGGCGTAAAGCTTGAACCCAAGTCCATGGGACTCTAAACCCATAATTGCAGCCTCTCTTGGAACATAAGGATTGGCATTGAGGTTGACTGTGAAAGAGGTTGCAGGAAGAAAAGAAACCTGAGCAAGAAAGTCAGCAGGACTCGGACACTCTCCTTCATGGACTGTGCTGGTGTGGATGTCTGGACCTCCCCTGTCACTCCTCATCTCCAGGTTCCAGGCTTCCACTCAGGCAGAGCCTCTACTGGGTGCCATCCACAACCCTGGCTCACTATACCCACTGGCAGACACTTTTGCCAGGTTCAGAGCTTGATGCAAATGGGTATCTTGCTAGGTAACTGTGTCCACACTGTGTAGTCAGGTGCCACCATCCCTGCCCAGCACCCACGTCCAAATTCCTTCAATGTCCCAGGTCTCTTTCTGCAGACAGGATGACTAGGAGATGAGCCAAGCTACCTCAGTGAGTCACAAATGAACTATTGTGCGAATGGAACATGGTTCCTGGCTAATAAACTTACTCCCCCAAGCAATGACTAGTTTTGCATTTTTATAAACACAGGCACAATTTTTTTTTCCAGTTTTATAAATTTGCTAAATATGTGTGCTTGCTTCTTTCCAACATGCCAATTCAAATCAATTTGTTTAATTCTTTTTGTCTCCAGAAAGCTATTAAGGAACCAGAGAGCTTAGCTGAAGCTGAAGATTAATCCAACATAAGAGAAAAAGCGATTTGCATTCAAATGAGAAGAACCACAAAGATGTCTCTATTCTACTTTGTTCTAATTTTGATCCTCCAGGTGACATTCTTCACTGGCTCATTTAGGTCTCAGTTGCCAAATCTGTAAAATAGGGACTCACAGATGATCATAAAAGATAGAGAAAAAGGGTCCCTAGTCACCGGGCCCTGCATCTGGTACCACATTTCCTTCCCACTCCCTCCAGCAGCGCAAGGCCCCCTGGGCTCCTTCACAGGTCCCCACAGAGAGGCAGGCTGATGGAGTGCTCACAACACCCAGGGTGACGACTGCAACACTGCCATTAATGTACAGAAGCCTCTTGGGCCACTGGGTTTCCTTCCAAGAATGTCACAGTGCGGAGGGAAATATTAGAGGAGAGAGAGGCTCCAGGAGGCGACTCTACTCCACACACTGAAGGACTCACGACAGTGTTTATGACTTACAGGTGAGTCAGGTCACGGAGGCCACGAAAGGCATTTCTTGAAATGGTTTCTATCTTGTTGCCTTCGATGAACCTGAGGAGAAAAGCAGCATAATTCAATTCAACTGAATTTCCCCTGCTTTACTATCTCTAAAAACGACACTGGTATGCTTGGGGAGTAAAATCTGAATGCATTCGTGAGTTCTGGAGTCTCCGAAGACTGTTAGCTACACCAAATTCCACAGCTTTTGGCATGTGTACAAAAACTCGTGCACATGGACGTGTCACTCCCCTCCCCCCAGAAGCAGCCTGGTTGTCTGCAAATTCAGAGTTGGTGACATTGGTAAAAAACATCTTGGGGATGAGGGGAAGAAGAACGGACATTCTCCCGTCTGCAAGACTGGAATGCTTCCAGACATTTCCCTGCTCGGATCCTCTTACATTTCCCAGGGCCTGGCTTCATACTTTAGTTAATACCACAGTCCCGAGAGGGAGCCCATTGTTTCACATCTCCGTATTATGGGTTTTGCTGAGGGATACTTCCATGAAGCTTGGCTCCTGGTAACCTTGGGCTTGTGCTGGCCCCCATAGCCCGATCTCTGAGCAAACGATCACAAGGCAGGGAGACTCCCAAGGCCTCTATGCCACTAGGAAGTCACCAGAAGGCTGACAAAGTTGAGTGGGGTCTGACCTTCTCCCTCTGGGCTACAATGGTGTAGGGTTTGCACAAAGATCTTGTGACAACACACTGGCCATGCTGTAAACTCTTTGTGGGCAACATCGCCTGTGACTGCACCGTGACCGTCCCCTGTGGCACAGGAATCTAAGTCATATGTGAGAGGTCTTTGATGAGACTGTCCAAGGTAGAATCTTTGGTGGCATTTTTGCAACACTATTAATGAACCCCTTCTTGCACTGAGCACTTCCTAGTACTAGACTTTAGCATAAACTGATAAACTAACTTCCTCCCTTAATTCTGGACAATAAGATGAACAACCAGCCTGCAAGAGAAAACTCCCAACTTTACTACCTCTGTGGCTATTCACGGGCTTTGGCAGATGCTGGTGGCTTTAGCCTGCAGCTGTGACACTCTTTCCATATCAAGCACATGTCAAAGTACTGGATTATGAGATCATGCAGATTTATGTCTACCCCAGAGAAAGAATTCCTGCAGAGACATCATTCCCTAAGACTCCAAGTCAGCAAGCACTTTCTTCCAGGATGTGTCTACAATTCAATCATCTACCTGTCAACCTCAGATAAGAAGGCAGAGAAAAGTCCTCTGAATGCTAAGTGAAGAAATCCCATCTGATAGCAGGATTAACCTTATTACAAACTTACCAGAGCAAGAATGCACGAACTTAAGTGAAGAAAAAGACATGAAAGTCAGAACAGTCTGAAATTCAGAACCAGGAAAAAGCTCATTTGCTAGGGGAAAAACTGCACATCTGAAGAGGGGAAAATAACTGTGTGTGTGTGCGTGTGTGTGTGTGTGTTGCTGGGGATGGAACTCAGGGTCTTGCACATGCTAGGCAAGCACTATATCGCTGAGCTCCATCCCCACCCCCTCCCACCTTTTTAAGGAGAAAAGAAAATCTAAACCCTCATCACAGATTTCTGCATGAGACCTCTCATCGGGAGACACTGCAAAAGAGAATGAAAAACAAGCACTTTTATCCCCAAATAGGGAAACTTTGTTTAAAAATAAGTGACCCTCAGAACTATTTCTGGCTGATCAGCAAATCCGTGCCTAGTTAGGGAGGTAAAAATATCCAGTGCAATTTCCAGTCATGCTTACTACATGATGAATTAAATGTCAGTCGAGAATGAATGAGCATCTGTGCTTTGTTTCCCACTTGTCTCCAGCCTCCTACTGCCCCAGTGTTCATAAAAGCAAGTAAACCGTCAAAGACCAGGGCGGACAAGAGAATGGGGTTTTCTCCACCCCAGCCCCTCCAGAGAAGCTGTTCCAGCACAGGACACAGTCCTGCAAGTACCCTGGGATAACAGATGCTTAGCAGACAGACCAACTGCAGTACTTACAGGTATTCAAGATGAAAAAGGCCAGCGAATGCATCATCCCGGATCACGGTGAATGAGTTAGAATTCAGCAATCTGCAAATAAGACAGATTTAATGCAGAGATGTAAAGCCGGAGTCACGGGGTAAAGCTGCTTCTGTTTCTTTTGCTCCGTACAGGTCTGTGGGCAGACCTGGCCTCTTCTCAGCCTAAGGACAACCGCTAGGTCCCTAACCAGACTCTCATGGACTACTGATGGAGGCCGTGGGGCAGGGGGTCCTTTTGGCCAAATATTCTGCTAATCTCCAATAATCCACCTCTTTCTTCCCTGCGGGGGTTGGGGAGTCTCAGTAAATAGGAACTGATAGCTGTGATTTGGAAACATTTTGACACTAGGCACAACTAAATAGCCAGCAATTGCAGAATGATGCACAAGCAGTCACAGAATTAGCGAACTAGAAGGATCTAATCCGACTCCATTTTTATAGAAATTCAAGTCCACAGAAGTTAAGTGACTTGACCAAAGTCACACAGCTGGGACAAATAAAAAAATCCTTTCTATCACATGATACAGCCCCGTGACAAATAATAACTTTCAAAAAGTGTTTGTAAATCGGGCTCTGATGGTTCATGCCTGTAAATGCTAGCTACTTGGGAGGGTGAGATCAGGAGGATCAAAGTTCAAGGCCAGCCCTGGCAAATAGTTATCGAGACCCCCAATATCCAAAATAACCAGAGCAAAATGGCCTGGAGGTGTGGCTCAAGTAGGAGAGCACTCGAGAATCCCTGAGTTCAAATCCCAGTCTCACCAAAAAAAAAAAAAAAAAAGCCCAAAAGTTTATGAAAGCTTCAGAAGACTATCACAATAGTTTTCTGAATCACCACTTAAGTCCATTCAGTTAAAGTCTATAGTCTATCTAGAAACCACGTAAGTCTACTTGACAAAAGACACCCACAATTGTGGTGGTGCATGCCTGTAATCAATCTTAGCACCTGGAAGGGAGAGGCAGGATGATCTCAAGGTCAAGGCCAACCTGGGCTACATAGGAAGACCTTATCTCAAAAACAAAAATCAAGACCTAAAATTGTATTCTATTCCTACAATCGCATTGAAATTACATTCTAATATCACTTCAATTTTTGCAGAATTCAGATTTTAACTGAATATAGCAAGTATAATGTAAGCAGGTGGGTGACATGTCAATAATAAAACTGTCACCAGTAAGTGCACTGAGGACGAGTCAGGCATGATCTGTTTTCTTTATATTTTTCTGTAGCTCATTGTCTGTTGTAATTACAATCTCATCTCAAATTTAAGAAATCAATATAACAAAGAGAATGCGCTTTGCACTCGACTGCCTGTCACTCATTTGCTTTTTGAAAAGTGCTTTTTGGACAGTTCTTTTAGTTAGCAAACATTAATCGACCTGGGTTACAGGTCACCATAGTGACCTGGTGGCTCACCAAGAGGAGCTGGAATGAGAACTAGTTGTCAGTGTAGGCTGTGGGCCATGAGCTAGAATCCTGGCTCTGTGATTACTTAACAGGGAAGTTACTTGACTTCCCTGAGCCTCAGTATCCCCATCTGTCAAGTGAGAAAATAAAAATACCCTCCTCAAAGGGATGATATGCTGATAAAATTATGCAAATGACTGACAATGTGCTGCCTGTTTAGGTATTCAGTAAACCAGAAACACTCCTATCTCCAAAATAACATTAAAATTTTTAGATGTAAGTTTCTTCTAAGGTGAGATGTTCAGGAAACAATTTATTGCGGTGAAGTTCAGTGCAATCGCCCCCCCCCAATTGGAGCTGGGATCAACAGCAAAGTCCTGGAAGAAAGCATGTACCAAAGTCAGGAAAGGAACTGGAGCGAGGAGCCTCGTCCAGGACACCTCAGGGCAAGCCAACAATTGACTTGGGGAGCAAGATATTGCAGGAATGACTAACACCAAAAATGCAGAGAACACCCTCTGGGAACCCCCCGTTTTGCAGAGAGAGCTTCCCATACTCACAGCAGCTGCAGGGAGGGCAGATGGGAAAACATTCGATCCTTGATTTCTGAAAATGTCCCGTTTACTAGGCTCCTATGGGCGAAAAGAGAGACAAATCAAGGCCCAGGTTTCTTTTAGGAAGCACCAGGCAGGATGGGCAGTGGCTCCATCATCCACCTAACTTAAAACTCTTCTCTGGCGTGAGGCTTCTCACAGCTGCCCAGCATCTTCCCAGGAGGAGGGATGAGAAGAGGCGAGCCATTCTGCAGTGTGCTTGATCAATATGAAAACTAGCCTGGCTAACAGAAACCTGTACTGTCTGCCGGGCTCCTTTCACAGACATTAGCTCAGTCAGTTTAAATCAATCCCCTGGCCTCCTTTGCTTAACAACAGGAGGCCCCTGCTGAAGATGGGTAATTGCTTCACCTCTGCCCAAGATTCTGTTTGTGCCCACACAAAGTCAGTGTTGGCCGATGAAACTCTTGGGTAGAATTAGGCATTCCCCTTGGGAGCACCTCTCTGAAAGACACTCAGCACTTCTGATTAAATGCACCGTGAAAGCCTTGGGGAAAAACTCAGAGAGACACCTGAACTTGACTGTGCAGTGGGAGGCAGTGCCATCTGCCAGATAAAATGGTCAAGAGGCCCAGCTCTGTTTCTGCCCCCAGGTACCCTGCCCTTTCTGGCCACAGCAGGACCTCAGTACTTTATTTCCATTAACATGAAGATCAAGAAGCAGCTGCTGATCTAAGGTTCAAGAAGGGGAATTCTAATTTCTGGAATACTCCATGTCACCTGCCTTGGCAATAGGAAGAATCAAACAGGCTCACTGTTCTCCTGTCCTTATACAAATGCAAACAGGACCCCACCCGCATTCTCTCCACTCTGTCCTAAGGACCCTGTCTTGCCTTGGATAGGAGGCAGGAGAATATCACATACAAGAAAGCACAAGCAACGTCACCCTCAGGACTCCCTCCTGTACAACCAAGTGGGCACCCCAGCATGTAGGCCTGGAATGGGTTCCTCCTAGCAGGAAACATGACCTAGTATAAAGATAGGGCTCAAACAGCCCCTTATGAGAACCTCCTGCATGGCGTGAGCAGCTGTGTGAGGCCAAGTTGAAAGCGACTCTTAGCAGGTGGACAAATAATGAGGAGCTCTTCTGGTCAGTTCCTCCAGGGCTAAAAAAGCAGCAAAGTGACATGAGATGGGGAAAGGGGACATGGAGCCCCCTGGGACTGAGGGGAAGAAGTCAGGCTAACTTCCTGCTTGGAAGTTGGCACTGAGATGGCCACGGCTTTGTCAAGTCTCTGCGTCCCCCTCCTCCAGGCCACGTGGGGCAGCCATCCACCTCCAGAGGCTGCATGCCTTCACCCAGGCTGGGCTCTTCCCTGCCTGCAGTGTGGAGAGGTCGGGAGGAGGCCACCGTGCCAACCTCGCTCCACAGCTGAGGCCGGGAATGAAGCCTCACCCTTGCCCAGTTTGCACTGAAGTCAGTCACGCTCAGCCACTCCTACACATGCCGTGTTCACCCACCCGCACCCCGCCACACACACCGAGCCTCTCAAACTTTAACGATCCCCGGCGCCCAATGCGGACTGTGGGGCTCCAGTGCAGAGACCCTGCCTCCCTGTGGGCCCGGAGTCTGCACCGGCACCAGCTCCCCCAGGTGGGACTGATGCAGGTGACCCGCGGGCCACACTGAGAAACACTGTCACGGGGACCTGTCTGGGGCTAGGGGTCCCTCCATCCTCCGGGGGGAGGCCGAGACTCCACCCTCGTCCCGTAGCGCGCCCCCTCACCCCAACGCAAAGAAAGGGAGCAGAGAGCAGGGTCAGGTGGCGCTGCCCCAGCGCCAGAGGCAACTCCCTGGCGGCGGCTAGCGCAGGGCGGGGCGGGGCGGGGGCCGGAGGGGTCCCACTCACAGGGAGCTGATGTCGCCCGGCACGATCCTGGGCACCCACGAGGAGCCCACGCAGATGATGGACTCCTTGGTACAGCTGCAAGTGGCGGGGCAGCGCGCCAGCCGCCTCACCTGCGCGCTCCGCGGGATCAGGCACGCGGCGCTCAGCAGCAGCAGCCCCAGCCCCAACCCCAGCGCCCCGCCGCCGCCCCGCAGCGCCATGCCGGCTCCCCCCGGCCCGGACCCCCGCCGCCACGCCGCGCCCCGCGCTCGGACTCCGCGCCGCTGCAGACGCGGGCGCCGCTCGCTGCTCGGCCGCCGCCGCCGCCGCCGCTGCTGGCGAGGACGCGGGCGCCGCGGGTGTGGGAGGCCGAGCCGCAGCCGAGCAGCATGCTGGCCGCCACCCCCACTCGGCGCCCCCCCACCCGCGCCCGGGTTGCTGGGCGGCCGCCGCCGCTGCGCCCGCCGCACTCGCGCCGGCCTGACATCAGCATTCGCGCCCGCAGCCGGCCCTGGCCAATGAATAATGCATGCGAGGGCCCGCCCCGCCGGGGAGGGGGAGGGCGAAAAGTTGGGTGACCTTGGGGACCGGCCGGCCGGAACCCAGACCCCCTCAGGGGCCGGGCAGAGCCGCCAGGATTAGAAGTCCGCAGCCCTTCCACGGGCCTGCAAAGCATTTGCAGGGTTCCTTTCGGCGAGGCCCAAACGTGACTCCCCTAAAAGAAGGGGCAGGGACAGCCTGGTTGATCACTGGGGAGGGGACTCTCCATGCGTGCTCTGAAGAGCCAGACTTTTGAGCAGCCTTTACTAATTCTGTAAAGAAGGAACCTGGAGACTGGTGCCATGAGACTCAGCGGGGCTGGCTTTGCGGGGCTTGTGCAGCGGGTGACTGGGGTCTGGCACCGTCTCCCCATCACCTGGGTGGGCTGAAACCAGCCACTCTCCATTCCATCGAAGGAATGTAGAAAAGTGAAGCTGCCACCGCAGGCCGCCCCTGCCACGCTGGGCTCTCCCTGCCCCTGCTGAAAAGCCTGTGGAAGTTTTCCTTCCCAGCACCCCACCCGCCCCACTAACCACGGGAGATTCAGATTGTGAGTGGAGACTGAGAGCAGGGTGCTGTAGGCACTGTGTGCACATCCCACCTCCCAACAAAAGCTTCCCAGGCAGATCTTATCCATGCCCCCAGATTTCTGATGCAGAAACCCAACCCGGGATGGCATCAGCAAATGGCTTGGGGTGTAGTTGTAAATGGCCTGTGTTGGAAAAGTAACCTGGCTCTGGGAGGACTGGAGCTTGGAGTGGGTATTCAAGAGCCCCCTCCAGAGCCCCTTTTTTTTGTGATGAGCCTGAATAAGAAGAACAAACAGCAGCTCACCTAAGAAAACCTTTTAAAAAAAATTTTAGTGGCACTGAGATGACAAACATGACCCCTATGCCCAGCTAGAAAACCATTTCTGATGTTGAGATATGCCCAGAAAAGACACACACGATGCAGCTGCTCTGACAGTAGGACTCATCCATCCTATTGCTTCTTCAGTAATCATTTGTATACCATTCATGAGGAAAATGCTTCACTGGTCACTGTGATGGACAACAAAAGAACAGGCCCTGTCCCCAGGGAACCTGAAGTCTAGCTGGGCAGATAGCCTTAAGAGAGTAACTCCACAGGGTTTCATGGAGGTCACAGATGACCAGAACACACTCAGGAATCAGAAGTGAGCTCCCTTATGTCACAAATAGGGGGATGGTGGTTCAGGCCTGCCTATCTCAAAAATTACCAACGTAAAAAGGGCCGGCCAAGTAGCTCCAGTGGTAGAACACCTGCCTAGCAAGTTCAAACACCAGGACCACCAAAAAAAAAAGAAAAGAAAAGAAAGCTGCTTGTAGGTAATGTCCCGGAGGGAGTCGGACATTCACTGCAGGTCACCTTCATCCATCATTTATCCACGTGTGAACTGCTCTGCACTTATCATCATTTATTTTTACATCTGCCCTGAGGACTGGATGGGAAGAATAAGCTCAGAGATGTTTTTCACTTGCCCAAGGCCACACAGAACCTGGTCAGGAGGACTGTCCTGTCGAACTGGTGGCTGGGCATGCAGAGGACAGCAGGACCCCACATCACGGGTGAATCTGCCCAAAGCGGGGAGGGGAGACTACTCATCACCAAGTTCCACAGGGAGACGTCTCAAATGCAGTCCTTCCTGTCAACCTAAGACAACAAAATGTGTTTCTTTCCTGCCTTGGGAATGGGCAAGGGGCTGGGAGAGATAGGTAAACTCTGGCCCCAGAACCAGACAGTCTGGGTTTGCACCCCACCCTGCTACTCACAGCTGTGTAATCATGAGCAAGCCTTGACTCTGGAAGCCTCCCTCCTCTCTCCTTTCTGTAGAACAGAACTCCTGACTCCTGAGCCTCTGTCTTCACCAAGGCCGGGGACACAAGTCCAGCACATCAGCCCTCCATCAGGGCCATCTTAGAGATGTTTGTGATTGTCACAGCAGGGTGGGAGCTACTGGCATCTAATAAGTAGAAGCGGGGATGGTGCTGAACACCCCAGAGTGCACAAGAAAGAATGACCAAGCCCCAAATGTCACTAGTGCCTGGCCTAGCCCCACACAGGGAATTCTAGAGACATAGATGGAAGCCTGGCTCTACCTCTTGAAAGCAAGCCTTCTTGGTTATCCCTATCACATGGGGTCATCGTCATTATTCGTCCTTATCCCCACGTGAGGGCCAGCTCCAGCCCATCCTGAAGCAGAGCACAGAGGGAAGGCTCTAGTACCAGAGCTGGCAGAGTTGGTGTTTGTTTCAGCTCTGGTACAGACACTAAGTGAGTGCTTGTAAATTATAAGGCGCAGTTTATAAATTAAGATATAAAAATGGAAATGCAGATTACTTTGGTTTGGTTCCAAGATCTTCAGCAGTTTAAAAAAAAAAAAAACTGATAGACAGGGAGAGACAGTCTGTTTCCAGGAACGAGGAAGAGTTTTTGAAAGTGTGAAAGTCCTCATTGAGATGTACACTTGCTCAGCTGAGCCTGGTGATATGAACACGCAATCCTGCCGTAGATGGAACAGGGCAGGCTCTCTGGACTTCTCTAAGGTCTCACACTGGCTCCACCTCGTAGTAAGACCCGTGCTCAGAGGAGTGTACATTCATGCCATCTCCATTCAAACACCTGTCAGTTCATCGGTCAGCATCAATTGGGAGCCTACAAGATGCTGAGCACACAATAAAGCAATGACTAGATGGACATGGTCCCCACCTTCATCAGAGATGGATGTGAAATTTTAAAAATGTGCAAATGACTATGCAGTCACAAATGATGATAGCACCGGTGAACGAAGAGAAGAGGAGGGACAAGTGGGGGACAGAGAGGCTTGAAATCAGAGAATTTCACTGAGAGCTCTGGGAGAAGGAGCCAGGTAAGTGGAGGCTAAGGGGGAGGCAGAGGCCATGAAAGGGGCCATGCATGCAGAAAGCAAGTACGTGCAAAGGCCAGGGGCCAGGAAGAGCTGGGTGCTTGTGAGGACCTGAATGAAGACAGCTTGGCCATGCACAGAGAAGAGGGGAAGGGAGGGTGGAGATGAGGTCTGGAAGAAGGGAGGAGCCGATTCATGCCCTAGGGATGAAGGACGTGAGTCAGAGAAGTGACTTCACAGCACTCATGCTTCCAGTTGTTTCTGACTGCCAAGTACAGGAAGGGTTGAGCCAGTGCCGGAAAGGGACGATAGACACCAGCTGGACTTGATGGGTGGTAGAGAAGATGCAGAAGAGTGGCAGAGCTTCAGGATCCATCCTAAAGGCAGCGTTGGCAGCACTCACTCTTTGGTTGGATTTGGAGAGAGCCAAATGAAATGTCTAGGCTGCCTCACAGGGTTTGGCTAGAGCCAGCGGGTGGATGGCAGCGCCATTTCTTAAGATGAGAAGGTCCAGAAGACTAGAGGCTTTAGTGGGAGAGGAGCAACAGCAGTTAGGTTGGGGATGTCATATTTGATGAGGCATCCACATGCACGTGTTGGGCTGGCTACCGGAGGACCACTTTGGATGGTAAGGAGGAGATGGGTAACACCTTGATTCTTTCTCCATAAATCCCCAAAGTAATGTTGGTTGGTCAAATGAATGAGTGACATTTCAGAAATCCAAACATTAGAGAGAACACACCTCTCAGATGTAATCAGTAAGGAACAATACAAATCTTACAGAAGACTGAATCTAAGAATACTGCAGTTTGGAGATCTACTTTTCAGGCACAAGTCATCTTCAAATCCTCATCATGATATCAATCCCCCCTCCTCAACTATCAAACTAAACTCTGCCCCCAGCCCCACCTGGTCTTCTCCCCAGAACCAGAAGTTTGGAGAGCCTCCCCAGCATCTACCGCTCTGGCTCTGATTCTTACTGTAACCACAGAGGGAGAGTTAATCTTCCAAACCTCAAAGGCACTTGGTTTGAATGGCTACAAATTGGATTCCCTGGAGTTCTCCTTTTTTATTTCCCAAAGAGTTCGCCAATCGCTCTTTGACCACATCACCCCACTCCTGTGGTTGGCTGCTGATCAAACTTAGATGTCGTTTCTTGCTCTGTCACTGCCTTTGTTCAGAGACTCAGTGGATTCCACAGGCTGCTCCTAATTCACCTCTTGAATTCAATTGCAGGCCTGAAGGGCTGCTGGGGAATAGCTTATTCAGTTTCCTAAGTCAGTCCAAAATCCCTCAGGATCCTGGTCACCTTTGTCACCTCCTCCCTGCCCCCAGTGTAATGGAATCCTATGGGATTTTTGTTGCTTCAATTCAGCTGCCTCTTGCCCTGACAGGGCACAATTTCGCATTGGAGAGCGACAACACTTCCTCAGTGTGCAACCCACGTGACTCGCTTGATGACCACCTTCTTCTTCCACCTTATGTAGACTGCCACTTTCCAGAACATTCCATCCTCCTAGCCTCAATGACTTATTTAGAGATGAATGTACTACCCAACTGGAGCAATTGGGGCTTACAAAACCCCTTGACAGGGCTTGTTCTTGAAATATTGGGGAGCAGTCTCTTTTTCCCACTGGCCATGTTGCTGGGAGAGGCCCCCATCTGAAATTAGGATCCCAATGGCATTGTTTGGATCTCAGATCAAGGCACCTGTTCAACTCTTCACTTATGTGAGACAATAAATGCCCTCTTGGCTTAACTAGTCTAAATCTGGGTTTTGGTCTATTGCAATTGAATGAATCCTAAGTAATCCACTTAACCACCACCACAGGCAGAGGGGATGTGTAGAAATGGGCCAAGCTCAAGGTCAGGGCCACCAGTTTTA